CACCCGTCGAGGTTTGTATGCTGCAGTTTGTTCACGGGGTCGGATCTCAGGGCGCCCTTCTCCTCCTCCTCCTACTCCTCCTCCTGCGCCTGCTCTCTCCTGCTTCTTCCCCCCCTCCTCCTCCTCCTCCTCCTCCTCCTCCTCCTCCTCCTGCTCCTCCTGCTCCTCCTCCTCCTCCTCCTCCTCTTTCTACTCCTCTTTCTTCCCCCCCCCTCCTCCTCTTTCTACTCCTCCTCCTCCTCCTCCTCCTCCTCCTCCTCCTCCTCCTCCTCCTCCTTGTCGTTGGGGCAGAGGCGTGGACCTAGAAGGCAATTCGATTCCGCTGCCATTCGTCTGTCCTCCCCTCGGCCTTTTCTTCATTTTTCTTCGAGCCACGTGCCGAAGCCCTGCGCGGCTACTGTCTTTGCGCTCCGTGGATCTCGGTGTCTCACGCTTGAGGCCCGACGGCTAGCTGGCTTCCTCTCCGACCCAATCCAATCCAAAACCCTCAGCCGTTTCCCCCCTCACATCCCACCCCCCGCCTGCTCCTCCATCCCACTTCCTCCAGGTCCTCCTGCTCCTGCATGCCACTTCCTCCATGCCAGCTACTCCCTCGTCTCTCCCTCCCCCTCCTTCCTCACCCCTCCCACCTCCTCCACTTCCTCCATGCCACCCCCCTCCTGCTCCTCCATCCCACCTCCTTTGAGATAGCTCCTCCCCGTCCGACCGCTGACCACGAGACGTGGTTGGCGGGCCAGGCTTTCTGTCTGAGGCTTCCCTTCCTCTCTCGACCCCCAAGTCGGATTTTTCAACGGTTGCACGGACGGCGGGGGATTGTTTTCAGACCAAACTTGGTGGGCTGGAGGCGTTTTGTCTGAGACTTCCTCTCCTCTCTCGACCCCCAGGTCAGATTTGTTCAACGGTTGCACGGACGGAGGGGGACCGTTTTCAGACTTCGATTCTCCACACATATAGTGACGCGCACATTCGTCTTTAAGATTTACCGAACTTGCGGGGCTGGAGGTAGTGTGGTTCTCAAACTATTGGCTCCCTCGTTGGGGCCGAGCACAATCTTCAGGAAAGCTTCCGACACTTACGCGGATGGAGTGGTGGTGGTTTTCAGAATGTGACTCTACCCGCAGCAGCGCCGCGCCCATTCGCTGCTTTCAGCATTTGAACGGATGGAGGGCACTTCCTCTTCCTCTCCACAATAAAAACTTCCGCTTGAGACAACCTGAACCCGTTCTTCAGAAATCCGCAGCTGTAAAACGGATACACGGATGGATTGCGGATCCTGGCTTAAATCGGGGCTCCCGTGTACGACCTACTTCGGCTTTACCACCAGATGACAAACATGGGATACATTTGCACGGATTGAGGGTGACTCTTGTCCAAAGCGGAGCTCTCGCTGGACATCCCCTCGAGCTTTATGATCCTACCCCGTCGCCGTCCTCATTGATGGCACCTCCTGTTCAAAACGGGATCCCTTCCTTGAGTTGCAAGACAATGGGGCGCCTGTCTTTCCACGGGCTTCCCGCAAATCAATGGAATCCGTATGGGGGCTTATGAGCAAGGAACTTGCGACGGGCGGGCGGATTGCAGCATCATTGATGCATCTTCGGTTTGCTCTGGCATCTCCTCTCCGCCTCCTTCCTCCTCCGCCTCCCCTTCTCTTCCTTGTCCTCCTCCTCTTCCTCCCTCTCCTCCCTTCCTCCGCTCCTCTTCCTCCTCACAGATGCGTGCGCCCTGCGCCATGCATGGTTTTCAGCAGTCTGAATCCACGGAGAGACACGGGCTGTCACACACAGAGCCTGACGGCTAGTGGGTCCGCCGACGAGCACAGCGTACGTTCTGCCCCCGAGGGAACAACTCTCCTCCTCCTCCTCCTCCTCCTCCTCCTCCTCCTCCTCCTCCTCCTCCTCCTCCTCCTCCACACCCTCATTTGTCCTCATTCCTCCTCCACCTCCTTCTCCTCCTCCTGGGTCACTCAAGTTTCGGACCATGACTCGGATCTCTGGCAGCCGCTCGGGACGATCCAGGCACCCCAAGAACGCCCTCGGCGAGGCGCAGCTGCTGAAGCGCATCTCGAGGCTGGAAAACCGCGAGAACCGACGAAAACGTATGAACACCTCCTCCTCCTCCTCCTCCTCCTCCTCCTCCTCCTTCCCGTGTCGTGCCCTGCACACCCGAGGACGCGGGGCGGTCGGAAGCGCGGCAGCGCACCATGGATCAGGAGGATCATCTCGCTCGTGGTCATTGTGAAGGACATCCTCCGCCGGAGGCAGACCTGCTCGAAAAGGGTCTCTGCCGACTGGAAGTACCTCGAGGGCGTCTCTGGCTGTGACAGCTAGATCAAGCCCTCCTCCATGCCTTCTCCTTATACAGAGCTTTTCCCTATCGCATCCCGAAGCCAATTTTTAGGGCGGGCCGGGCGTTTCGCCTGAGACTTCCGCACAATTTGACCCTGAAACTTAAAAATTGGCAACAGTTTCACGAATGGAGGGCGGGTGGTTTTCAACAT